CAAATTCATCTTTCCGGCTGACTTCATCATCCTAGATTTTGAGGCTGATAAGGATATTCCCATAATCTTAGGAAGACCTTTCTTAGCCACTGGTGGAAMTTTGATTGATGTCCAAAAAGGAGAGCTAACCATGAGACTCCATGACCAGAAAGTCACATTCAATGTCTTCAATTCCTTAAAGTACCCTGATTACTTAGAAGAATGCTCAGGAGTTACTGAGATAGAGACAATGTGCTATGAGGAAGGAGCTAGGAAGGCCTGTAAGTTAGAAGAAGAGGAAAGTGCTGAGATAGGTGATGAGTCTATTGAGGATTTAGAAGGTGATGTCCCATCTGATGCTGCAGCATTTGAGTTGCTGAATAATAGTGAGCTTAAGAATTTTAACCCCTCCATAATTTCACCACCTGGCCTGGAGTTAAAGGAACTCCCATCTCATTTGAAGTATGTTTTTCTAGGAGAAGAAGGTAAGTTACCTGTCATCATATCATCTACCCTAGAATTACATCAAGAAAAGAAATTGGTGGATATGTTGAAGTTGACCATAAAAGCTATGGGATTGACCGTTGATGACCAAAAAGGGATTAGTCCTTATTTTTGTCAACATAAAATTGTCCATGACAATAAATTCACATCCATAGAGCCACAAAGAAAGGTGTCTACTTTTGATAAATCCATAAATAAATTGTTCGGTCTCTCACCCCACATAGGTTCTGAAAATAATGCACTCGTGCACACGACCCCTGAGGCATATTTGGTTGAGATCATGAATCTCCTTGGAATGCCTGAGACTGATTGGGAGCCTTACAATCATTTCATGTTGAAAACCTTTAAGGCTGCCAATTTGTCCCCTGATGAGAATGTTTGGATAAGCTTTATTAGACATTATTTATCACCGACTACATCTGACAACTCCATTTATGAGGAAAGGTTGTTACTTTTGTTGAGTTTCATAACAGGTGAGAAAGAGAAGGAGCCGGATGGGATGATAAGGATGATGAAAGAKYTGTTGRCCCMAAACAGCAGCCTCTTGGAACATAGGAATGAATTCCTTGACAAGATAGATAGGTTGAAGGGAGAGTTGGCTGAGAAGAAGACTAGGGGAGACATCAAGTTGGTAAGGGCTAAGTTGGAAGCAAAGATAAGTGCTCAAGTCAAGAAGCTGAAAGCCTTGAAGGAAGAAAATGCAAGGCTGTTTGGTGAGAATGCTAGATTGAAGGAGTGCAAAAGGTTGAAGGACAGCATCTCCACTTCACCTACTCCTATGGAGTAGGACAGGTTCTATCATCCCTCTTTAGCTTCTTTTA